CAATTTATCGTCAAAATTGATAATGAATTGAATTGAGAGCAATCATTCAATGGAACTTTATTATTGTGAATTAATTCAATTCAGAAGTAACTGTTATGAATTTTGTGGCTACAAAAGACCGGATTCTGTCAAATAACGGCTCATCTGTCAAATAACGGCTCATCTCTGTTCTTGAACCACCAACGGTCAGTTCGTTGTGACGAGAACAGAGCTGATCAATATTAGCGAGAGTTGTTTCTTAGTCGAATTCAGCTAAAGTTTTAGAAGCGATAGCCGTTACCAGTTGCCGTCAAGTTCGCCACAACAGCCTTTTGACGTAAATGCGGTGGAAGAGCGAATCGTCGTAAAAATTCTCGTTTCACGGTGCCATGATCTTCACATCGTTCCTCATGATCGCCCTCAACGATAAGTGCGTCTTCAGAGAGTCGAACCAGTAAATCTGCTGGACAAAACTGTGAAACATCCAAATCGATTTGTACATCTGTGCCAGTATAAAATTTCTGAAATTAATGCGTTTGAGTAGGATATTTCTATTTTATTCTCATGCATTCACATTCAATAGTTCTAAATTGGTCTTCAGATGAATAATGATTNTGAAACATCCAAATCGATTTGTACATCTGTGCCAGTATAAAATTTCTGAAATTAATGCGTTTGAGTAGGGTATTTCTATTTTATTCTTATGCATTCACATTCAATAGTTCTAAATTGGTCTTCAGATGAATACTGATTATCAGTTGAAAGTTCACGTAACGTTCGGAGGACTACTGCTTGTCACATCCTGCATAAACAACACCCAAAATGTGGTATTTATGAACTAATTTTGAATTCGATTCCACTTCAGTGCTTTTTTAATAATGTCAATTAAAAGAACGTGATTGTTAGGATCATACGATGTTTTGGTTCAATCTGTTTTGGTATTTCTGAGTCAGTGATTTCTTTTAACAGACATTTTGATCTATGTGGACTAGCGATTATTGAGGATCCATAGAGGTATTTTGTCGTGCACATGACCAGCTCATTTCATTGCTTCAAAAAAACTCAGTGAGAGCGTTGCATATAGACGATCACGATATGCAACTTCGGGTACACAAAAAAAGTGGAATGGGAAAGAAGAGCACAACTCATGTGTATCGTGTACAAAATACGTTGTCATTTTGCATTCTTTGAACTTTCTCGGAACGAAAAAAAATGCCCTTTCAAAATTTGCAATTAGCATTTGCTGCAGGTTGCTGTTATGCAAATACCGTTAGATGTGTGAGGAGATCGCTAAAAAGTGGGAGAGTGAGGAAACCGTCAAGAGAAAAGCTAAAATTAGGAAATAATCGTCATTCACGAACAGCTAGCTGGGAGAACATTGTTCGTTAGCTGCTAGACACGTAATCAGTGAATCAGTGAAAAGGCTAGTGAAAAATCACACGGGGAAAGTGCAACAATTATACTTGCTGATAAGAGTTCGACAAATGCACTCGTGATCAGCTGTAAGTTAATGATAAAACATTCGAGTGAATGAACAGTTTACCATATATTTAGTAAGTACATTGTGAATATGTCGAAATCGATTGGCAATTTAATGGATTAAGGAGGTATGTTAAGAAATTTTTACCACAGGATCAACAGGATGATGTGTGACCGATCTGGCAGAGTTACCGATCCAATGCGGGCATAGACCCGTTTCATGGTACCCATGATGATGACAACCTTCCTCTTGAATTTCTGGAAGCGATTTACGTCTATTGTAATCAACTAGTCCACGAAGTCCACGAAGAACTGAGGTAATACCAGCCATCACTCACTTGATCTGAACAAAAAAGAGCTGAGATCTGTTGGAAATTAGAGGAAAAGAAGAGAAAACACTTACGGAGTAACGAGTATTCAACGCTTTTGATAGTAAACAGTTGGTAGAATGAGTAAAAAAAGTGTCGCTCCCGGGTGGACTTGAACCACCAACCTTTCGGTTAACAGCCGAACGCGCTAACCGATTGCGCCACGGAAGCACTGACTTAAATGAAGACGCGCACATTATATTGAATGAGACGGTTTAGTGGTGATAAATATTTTTAAAAGGCTATGGAAGGGTGGCAGTGAATATGTACAATACACTAAAAACTGTGTGCTTAAACAATACATCTAAAGTTGATACAAAACGGATTCCAACAAAACTGGTAGTTTCAACATTCAGGCTAAATGCGAGTTGTGCATATGTTAACAAGCTCATAATCAGTTAAGTAAAACATAATGAATAATAATGAGTGATAATAATAATGAATAATAATATAATAATAATAATAATAATAATAATAATAATAATGAAT